TGATACACGAACTACCTACTGTCGTCGTCGGATGTCTGCTTGCTACTCTGTCTGTTGACCAAGTTGTTGTTTGCTCTTGAATACCGGTACGACTGCAGTTACTGTCAATGCTGTCAAAGCTTTCGGTACTGTGCCCTGGCATCTACAATGCCGCCCAATGTCAAGGGCACGGCGCTGAATTCCACGGCCGTTGCCCTTTCAGCGTGGCCGCCGCCGCACTGTTCCTCGCCATTTTGGCCCTCTACCACTCTTCATTCATTCATGGATATGTTATTTTTGTTGTATTGCGTTGATGCCGTACAGCAGGGCCATGTTCAGCATCATGAACATATCGCACCAGAGGTTTGTGCTTGAGTACGATTCCTCACGCATGTGGTTTCCGTGTGTCCGTGTTGTTTTTTCGAGCTTGAAGTGTTCGTGCCTAAGCTTTGTGTGTAGTGCTTGTGCTTCCGAATGCACGCTAGGATGGCTTGCCCAGAATTAATCTTCGAGCATAGCTCTCACGCATTGTGGGACTTCATTCTTTGGTCCTTAATGCGTCAGTCAGTGATGGAGATGTCGCTTCCGGAACTGCTGTGTGACACCAGCGTCTTGGTGACAGCGGTTGCGCAAGCATCATTGCAAATCCTAAGTCATGCATTGCATGCGTGTCACAAGGTCTCTGACGATTTGGATCCAAGTCGGCCAGGCCCCGTGCGGAAAGCCTCAACTCCCTGGCTCTTAGTCGGGACTGGAATGGGTTATAGGGATTACCACAAGGGACCTCGGAGGGACTTTCATAGGGATCCATTCCCCCATTTCCTCTTTAAGAACCAGGGACCCAATCACGGGTTTAATGAGCTGTGCAGAAACGTTGGCATTGCGTGGAGCTTCGGGCAAGTGCGAAGTGTGCCAAGGCATCCAAAGCTGATGTTGCTGTGCTGGTAAATCCCGGACCGCATTTTGGAAGATTTGCCGCTGAAGCACCCTCTGCTTCCTGCGAAGGCCAAAGTGATTCACGGCCAGATTGGACGTGCCGTCGAGCCATTCGATCAGCAAAGTCTTTTCAAGCATCCCCCCGACCCCTTCATAACAATCAGGATGGAAAGGACATGGCTTACTGCTCCGGTTTGCTGCTACGGTTTGAGCGGCTTTGTTCATTCGTCTTTTTTGTTCTGCACGGATGGCGTTGACTTGTTTTCCGTTTGCCCTCTTCTGGCGCTGTCAAGTCGTTTGTTCCAAGGTCGATTCTGGATCTCTACATGGTTCCGATGATGAGGGTGGCGACCTTGGCAGGAGTTGCAGGGCCTCAAATGCAGTAGCTGAATGAGTACACTTTAAAATACTCGGGGTAATATGATCCCTTAAAGAACTGCAAGTGCACACTGTTTTGTGCTTATGAACTCAGCAACTAAGGTTCATAAACTTTTTTGAACGGCCTAGATATGGTGATCCCCATCATAGTTGCTGTTCAAGGAGGTGGTCTACCAGTCAGTGGTCTGCACTGCATTGTGGGCCACGATCAGTTAGGACATGAGGCTTGGTTTTTGTTTCGACCTTGGCCACCAAACCGTTCGCGCGCAGTCTCAGAGCTTTTGTGGGATGGGTGTCTCGGTCAACTACTGCTCCTGATGTTGCGCAAGGTTCGTGACACAAGCTTTTCAGAAACTGGCACGGCTCTCGCAGCACAGAACGGAAGGTGCAGGCCTCAACAGCCCTCCGGTTTCCCTGCAAGGTGTGGGAGGCTCAGACTACGCAGTTCTTCTACGAAGCTCGCCTGGCATGGCAGTCAGGGCCATTGTAAGTCTCCAGGAAATTCTGCGGTGGGACGTGTGAAAAGACCTGAGCCCTTGACCCGCAAGGGCCCTATAACCCAGGCGCCACCCCAATCCTAAAAGTCTGGCCTTAAACCCTAGAAGCCTGAACCCTAGGCCCTTATAAGGCCTTTAAAAAGCAGTGACCCAAAAAAAATCTAAAACCCCAAACCCCAAACCCTTGAGTTCCCTAAAAACAAGCCCTAGCTTCTCAAAGCCCGAAGAGAAAAGGCACCTTAAAACAAACAAAAAAAAGCCAAAGACGCCTCCCCCCAGGATGTCTTTTCCAGCCACTGGCGCCTTTGGGATCTCCTGGAGGTCTTAGACAACAACGCCTGGATCAGGCAGCAAAAAGCAGGCGCCCAGGTAGAAATGTGCACATAGGCCGACAGTACGGTTCTTTTTTAGCATAGACATGTAACATATGTATGTTTGCATGTATGTATGTATATATATATACATATATATATATATATATTTATTTATTTATTTATACATACGTACATAATTACAGATACGTGTGTGAGAACAGAAGAGGTATCTTGCCTGGAAGCCTCTTGCATCTGCTCCTCTACCAATCTGCCCCTGATGCAGAAAACGACGGGCAGCAGCGCCTGGAAGTGCCCGTGGCGCCGAAGCGAAGAAGGCAGGAGCTCGCAACGAGGGGCGCAGGGTGCCGGGGTGGGGGAGGGGGGGGTGGGGGTGGGGAGTGGGTGAACGGGGGGTGGGTGGTTCCATTATAGTTGGGGATCTTTCGTTTATGCAGTGTAGCAACCCCTGAGACGAAAGCAGAAGCAATGACACTAAGAAGAAGAATCGTAGACATAATCATAAGCGTAGCAATAAGAGAAAATAAGAGTGTTGTCATGCAGTAGCAACTTCGTAGCCATATATGCTTAAACAACACCCGACAGGTTTGTTCAGTTTTCAAGCCTGGATGCTCCATGGAACCAGTACAATACAAAGCACCCCCACAAGCCCCTTTCACTGCACCCTCAAGTGCTGAACGCGCCTGACTGGCTTCGTAAGGCGTGTGCTGCGTCCTGCATGGGCGCGCGAAGCGCAGGGTGGGCCACCACAGGCACCCGAGGGAGAGTACTATAGGGACCTTAACAACTACCAATAGTATGCTGGGGGTTCCTCATTATAACTCTAGTATAATAAGCAAGCCCCAAAACCCTATTCTAACTATTAACGCCCCTACATTACCACCTTTTGACTTGACGGTGAGTTCGGTTCGACATCGAGGGTCGTATCGTCCTGGTGATACTCGCGTGGCGCAAAAAGACGAAAGAATCAGTGTGCAACTGCGGTAATGGACAACGAGTCCGGCTGAACTCTGTTTTCTAACAACAAGGCAAGAGGCACTTCTCAAGAATACGCACATGACGGGAGCGTGCTAGACCTTTCCAGGTTCTACTGCTCGGTGGGGGCCCCACGACATACCGGCCCCTTGGCAGCCGCCCTGAAGAGCGTGAAGCCCATAACCTTGACTCATGGTTTCTCCATCCGCAATTAATCCCACGGTAACAGGATCTTGCTTCGCAGCATCACACGATTCACGACCAGGTACCCACATGACTTGCCTGCTTCCCAGAAGCAGGTCTGCAGAAACAACAGAAGCGGCTGTGGGCTGGATGATCATGGCATCAATGCTTCTGCAGCAACACGACCTTCCCGAAGTCACACCCTATCGGAAGTGAGATGAACCCTGATACCCTAAACCCTCAAATGCCCAAAACCCGAAAGCCCCCACTAAAGCCTGTAGCTGCAAAGTCCAATACAGCCTAGGTGGACCTCCTTCACGCAGCGTGGCCGCCAACTAGCTCGAGGTCTCCGCCACCTCGGCGCTCGAGGCAGATTCCCAATTGGTGAACTCTTGTATATTCAAAAACGCTTTCAGGTCGACGTTAAAAGGCTCTCAAAAGGGTGTTCTAGGGATGTACACAATTCTTAGCTAGAGAAGGAAGCTTAGTTTGACTTAAGGGGTGTGGAACCAGGGACTCAGGAAGAAGACTGTACGCGAAAATAACAAGTACACATAACCAGAATCAGCACCACTCATGCTCTGTTGTCCAATCATCCGAGAGGCAAGTTGCAATGCTGTTTAGGGGTGCAGGGTGTTGAGGGCAGGGCTGCCCGAGCGTGAGGGCTCAAGTCTAGGCATCTGTTTGTGAACCGTGTTGTCGGGCCTCCCTCAAAACGTTGGGATGGCCGCTCTGGCAAAGGTTCTTGCAACATAACAGGGCCATGCAGCAGTCGTTCCGAATCAGGGTCTCTTAGCCGCAATTCGGAGCAAGTTGCATGTGAGGTGCAGATGCCCGGACTTGGAATGGCAGCTGCAGGCCCGGACATTGCTGATTCCAACACTGCTTAATCACTGCCATCAACTCCTTCACAATCATCACTGTGATGACCTCCTCCACAATCTATATAACCGGGGAGAGAAGACTGCAAAGACAAAGGGTGCTGTGGCCTGGGGCGTTCAGTAGCCGGAATAGTCTTCGGCAGGTCATGGTGCTGGCAGATCGGCAGCCTGTCCGGAGACAACGAGATCACTTGTGTAGCGTTGGGGCCGACTTACGGAGTAAGATCGGGTTTCGGGGTAAACATAATGAACCTACAGGGACTAAGGGGACAAGTTCGAAGCACTTAGACCGCTGTAGTACGAACCACTGGACTCTGTTTGTGCGCAAGCATGGTGAGTCCTTGCAGCTCGAAATACAAACGGCAGCCAGCTAGTTTTGACAGCAGCATGGTAGTTTCTGGATATAAGGAACAGCTACCCCGTATCCAGCAAGTAGCAGCACGTTCACTATTGAGACCAAGGGACCCTGAAGTGGCTAGAGGCCAAACCGATCAGGTACGTCAGTCCACACCGACTTTGCGTGATGCTGAGGCCGAATGTCCCTTCCCGGTACCTGGGTGCCCGATGCCATCATTCACATCAAGTACATGCGACCCTGCTGCATTTTTCTCACGTTTCCCATCCGGGGTATTTCGTCGGAGGTACATGACTTCTCAGCGACCTTCGTGTGACCTGGAAGCTGCAGCCTCTTCACTTCCAACACAAGCTAAAACCTGTCGCAATTATGCAGCAGCATACCCCAACCTCTGGATAGGAGCCTTGTTTGGCGGACAGCCTTGTCTGGACATGCACACGGCCCATAGATGGCCCAAGCCCAGGTGTAGCTGTGCAATCTCTCGATGGCGGCAGGCAGTTCATGTCTACGCTGCTTGGATGTTTCCTAAACAGCCCTATGTTACGGTAACTTAACTTCAACTCCGCAACAAGAACCCAGCTGCCCTACACCCTAAACCCCTAAGCCCCTAAACCCCTAAGCCCTATAAGCCCCTAGATTCCTTCATTGAAGGGGGCCGTGGGCTCTGCAGGCGGCTGTGTCGTATTCTGAGAGCTCTTTCGGGGGCCTTTTAGGCAGGGGGCCTTCTTTTCTGAGCATCTTTGAGCTAAAGGGATGGCAGGGGACCGAGGGTTTCGGAGGGGCTTTCTGCTCTCAAATCTTCAACCTTGAGAAAGTCCTAGGGTTTAGGGTTTAAGGTTTAGCTGCGTCAAGAATCCGAGGATCCGGTAGACATCGATGGTTGGAGCATGGGCCTCCGCTTGGGCGATCCCTTACTCAGGCGGGTTTTGGGTGGGACTTCCTTGTAGCCAGCTCTTGCACATGTGGGGACGGGAAGCTGTGGGCACCTACTTCACGGCCTTCTGGGATTGTAGATTCTTCAAGCACTGACATGTGACCCCCTTCAGGGAACCCTAAGCCCTAAAACCCTAAACCCCTAAACCCTAAACCCTTGTGGCGATGCTTGAATTCGAGGATGCCGAGGTTGTTGCTAGTGGGCGAGCCAAGAGTTTGTTGGATGGGTAAATTGTCCAAAGCGAATAGGGATGCCAAAACACAGTCAAGAAGAATCTCGCAACAGCATGGCTTATAATTGACAGCTGAGCCTAAAGGATTGTTTCGTGAATGCTGGAAGTGTTCCTACATTGCAGAAAAGCGAGAATGCCAGGTTCGATGCAATTCTGGCCACTACATCGCTTGGTGTCAGTGACTTGCGACAGCGCCTTGATGTTCATGATATTCATTGCATTTCAGCAAGTGTCAGCTCTTCTTGCGACCACCGGCGCTCAGCCTGTGTGTGCATGGACACGACGACTGCGGTTTCAAGCTTGACTATCTATCCATGGCCAAGTCGAGGGGATGTCTTGCTGCCAGGCACCCATCACTGCAAGCTGTGGCGAAGAAGCGCGGCAGCAAGCGTTCAAGAATACTAGGCTCCTTTGCAGGCACGGCAACGGCTTTTGAAGACTTTGACGACGAACGGGATCACGCACGAGCAGGGCTGTGATCATTCTGATTGCGTGAGAGAGCTTGCGGATGCAGACCTGGCGGCAAAGGAACCTCTCCATCTTTTGGCTGCCGATTCACCACTCCAATTTTCATGACCTGCGCTCACGCGATCCCACAGCAGAGGTGCCGCGCCGTGCATGGGGACCGTTGGGGATGTTGAGGGATGTCGACAGATAATGTTTCTTTCTACCGGGGGGCGAAGGCCTGAGACTGATGGTACTGACAGCCCCAGTTGTTTCAGCACTTGCCGTTAACAGGCTTTGCTGTTGCGACAGATCTCGAAGGAAAATGACCGGGAATCACTGGGAGACTCCACGATGCTTGCGTATCTAAAGCCGGAGACCCAAAAATGCGAAGCCCGGAACTGACATCAGGTGCACGTCGTCGGAACGCACACGGTCCACCGAGACCCACCGCTCTATGCCCAGCTGCAGCGAACGGTGCGGGAGGCCAGGCCTTGAACTTGGATTCGAGCTCGAAACGCAAGGTGCTAGAGACGGGTTTAGGGGTTTAGGGTTTGGGGTTTAGGGGCAGCTTAGGGGCATCCTGACAAGGGAGCCTTACACCAGACGAATCCTGGAAAAGTCCTGCAGGTGACTGCTGGCAAGGCTCGCTTCGTCCATCTGAACCCTGCAAAGTCCTTTGCAGCCACAGCAGCTCTGTCCCAACAGGGTGTGGGATGAAGCATTCGGAGCAACAGGTTCCGGAGCCTCGTAGGTTTTGGTTGGTCATAAACTGAGTGGGTGTGCTGCTGTCAGCTTCAAGATAAAACCCTGCTTCAGACAGACTAGTAGACTTTTGAGCAAAAGCTCGGCTCACATGGTCTTTTCACATGAGGTCATGGACCGCAAACCACCAAGCATGTCAGAATCTCAAGCTCAGGAGGGTCGCATCATCACGCCTCGGCAGATAGACGATCTCTATCAGGAGATTTCATCCTTGGACGTGGCGCCGCTGGGACCGTTAGCTTGAAGAACGGGTGCTGGGCTTCTGGGTGACTGCTCCAAAGATCTCCACGAAGCTTCCAGCATCCCTACCTGGTCAAGGGTTCCATTGAAAACTGCTGGGAACTGAACCCCAGCAGATCCCGGTTGTGAGATGAGAGGTGGAGGAAGATCGGCCGGCCAGGCAACAGAACGGAAGAGATCCTTAGGCACAACGCGGTCTAGGCACAACCGCTGGACTCTTGCCCTGAAGGGGCATCCAGACAAAAAGATCAAAATGGAAAACAAGCGGGCGTGTCCTGAATTACGGGTTGCCTGTTGGGCCCTGCTCTCGTTGAGGATCTGCAAGATGTCGGGGTGCCAGAGCAATTGGTGGTTCTGCAGCCGTTGGCGCACCGGACAGCGATTGGTGCCTTCCCGGCATACTGGACTCAAGTGTCTCTTGTCGAGCTGAGAAGTTACCCTAGACGCTCCGACACCAACAGCTGGTTCCCCAAGTTAAAGACCATACTACTGTAGAGGCGCTTGTTCTGTGGTTCATTGGTGTGCTTTTTGAGATATCCCTTGTGAAGCTGGGTAGAATGTATTTCCTCCAGCGGGTCGGAATAATTGCAATCAATACCGCTCCTTGCAACTATGATGTCCTCAAAGCCTATTCTTAAGAACGGGGATCCTGAAAGGGAACCGAGCACCACTAGGAACGCAATGTGTTTTCTTAAAACCAGATGGTATACCTGAGCTAGGGAATGTTGCTTTCAACATCTTATTATGGACCCTATCACAACTTGATTGATCGTTTTTGAGACTCTTAGCTAAGCCCTAAACCCTAAGCCCTAAACCCTAGACCCTAAACCCCTAAACCCTAAACCCCTAAACCCTAAGCCCCTGAAACCCTAAGCCCCTAAAACCCTAATGTTTTGCCCCCCTTTCTTGAGGTGAACCTTCTGAGCCTCGGCATTCCGACCGTTGCACCTCGTCCAAATGGGGGTTTCCGAATATAGGGGACCCTGATATAGTACCCTAAATAGTAGGATCCTAATTATAAGGACCCCACAATAAGGTAGCCTAATTTTCGGAAACTCCCAAATGAGAGTTTTATGGAATGAGGGGTCTCCCCTCCCTCCCCTCCCTTCCTCGTTTGAGGGTTGAGACCCCCTTCGAAGGGTCTTATCAGGATGTGTGTGTGTGTGTGAGGTATTTGTGGGTTCTGAAAAGCAGGGCTCCCTTTTCTACGGCATCCTTACCCTATTTTATCATGCGCTTCCGGCGAAGGGTCGTTATTGAGATCCGTTGATTGCCGAAACTCTCATGCTGTGTTCACTCTGTTGTATCAGGTTCCCCCCACGAGAATCGCAGTCCGGCGCCGTAGAGGCCCAATACCCCTTCATGAATACAGAACATGCATACCACACATCAGAATGAGGAGCACAACAACCTGACATCAGGAACGTGCCCAAATTCATGGTAAGAAGGGCTGTATGATTCAAGGTATTATTCCGCATGTAACGGGTAGTAGACTCTCTTCACAGGTGTGGGGCGATGCACGCGGCAATATGGACGTTTTGGAAGGAAGGCGCTGAGCGACGCATGCGTTCAATGCCACTATCACTATCTGGCAATTGCACCCACTGGGTTCATCTCCGAGAAACATAGGACAAGGGTCGGCTTGTGCTGATAAACAGCTACTGCATGGTGGGTGTCTTGAGCTCTTAGCAACGTACAACTACAGGGCTGGCTACATATAGCACGCACCCACGATTCTTCAGAAGTTGTTTGTTGAAAGCCTTGGATGCTCTTACAACTTTGCTTTGCGTTTGCTCGTCACGCTATGTGACGCTGTGTGGGATCGATACCGGCATTGTTCTTTCACCCATTCCTTCCCACTTGTCTCGGAGCACAGGTGGCCACCCAGCGACCTTTTCGGTGACGGTAGTGAGTTTGGTGTCCTGGCCGCTGATAGTCACGTGAGGGCATACGAATCACAATCGCATTCTTTTTTGCAATCAGCAGCACGACTTTGATGTTCTAACAATACCCCATCAGCTTTACCTGCATCTCGGCTTGTATGGGTCCCTGCATGTGGCTGTGAGGGCTTGAACACAGTGGCGAGTAGTTTTTGGTTGCCCTTTGAGTGCTAGAAGGAGCCGAAGGCAAACTCCCCCCCACGTTCCGCACCCAACAAAGCTTCGTGAGGGAAGGGGCAAAACGGGATGTGCAGCTCTTTGCCGAGACCAGGCACGCTGCCGCTGCAGTATCCACCTGAGCTTGTCATACGCGGAGACGGAGATGCGCCGCATCCTCATTCGGCCTCGGAGCAGTCAGGAGCAGATTTCGTGCGAGCTTCAGTTGGGCCTCGGGGTGTCAACGCCAGAGATCTGCGAAAGACATAGGCCGCATATGTTATATATATATATATAATATATAATATCATATCATATAATATAATATAATATATAATGTATAATACCCGCCTGTAGCTCTCTGGATGCCTTCGAGGCTCGGAGCCTTGCGCCTGGTCCTGCAGAACGCGACGCTGCGGGCCCTGGCCAGGGAGCAAGGTCCTCGCGTGCATTTCGCGGGTTTCAGAGCTGGGATCCGAGAGAAAACCTTGACCTTAAGTTCTTTGCCTTCCGTTGCAGCCTTGGGTCACAAGTCCTTCACGCGCTGTTGGACAGGCTTGCAGCTGGCCAAGCGCTTCACTTTGCAGAAGATCTCATCCCGCATCGTGCTCAGATTGGGGCTATTGCTCTTCTTGTTGTTGCGTAAAAAGCCGTCAGAGCAAAGAAGCGCGTGGAGTATCCATTGATACAGCAACATGCAGACTTCCCAGCATGCTTGATCCTGCTATCGCCAACTCCGGCATCCTCCATCAGAGGGTGTGGCCGACCAGGCCATGCAAGCACAAGCTGGGTGAGGCCATCGTGCCCCTAAGAGATCCGTCAAGAAACTTTTCAACAGAGCACTGCAAAAAGAACAACACGTGAGAACGGTGCATTGAGAGGAGACGCAGCGCTACCTTTAAGTCTTCCTCAGTTTTGCAGGTAGGCGATTGGCAATTCAATAGCTACACATGACCTACCAGGATTTCAGGTGGTTATTGCGTGGTCGCTGACGCCTTGGCAGCTGCCACAATGATATCTCAGGACTAGCCCGAATCCTGCGCTTGCTGCTGCGCCGGCGGCTGGCAAGAAAGCGCTGGCACTTTGCAAAAAGGCCGGGACGGATGCGCATTGCGCAGTATCTTGGGAAGACGCTCAACGGCTGCAGGAGCCGATGAGGCAGAACTTGGAAACGGCAAGCCGCGGAGAGCTGAGAGCGCAGGCACCGAAGTCTGCACAAAGAGACTCGCACACAACTTGGTGGCTGCAGCTCTCAAAGTTGACTTGCAGGGGCGTGCTGCAGCCATCGGTCGTGCTTCAGAGAGCGGTTCCTTCCATCAGCACAAGAAGGCCAGGTCGCTGCACCGCTTTGCTGCGGCTTTTCCCATGCAAGACTATAGAAGCTTGTATTTTCGCCACACATTGCTTGCAATGAGGCCTCCACGCTGTCTGCAATCTGCTGGGGCAGTCTCGATCGAGCTGACCGGTGAAGCGTGCCACTGTCCGCCTCTGGCGGATTCGACAGGCTGGCTGCGTGGGTGCCTGAAGACGTCGTCGACGGCCTCACGGTGGAGAAGATGTCCGAGGCGAGCACCAGTGCCGGCGACGTTTGCATCAAAAGGCTTGTGGCGTGCTGGCCGGTGGCGACGATGCGGCCAAGACACGACTGGCCAAGAGCGGCTGCAAACACAGCCTGGCAGTCTCTGTGGGGACGGCAGAACAAAGTGGTCAAGAGATAGTCTGCCTGCTTGCTGTCAGAACTCTTGACTTCTTGAGCAGAGCGAGACTTGAGGTGAGCTTATTGAAAAATGTGCGGCAGCTAAGGTTGTTCGAAAGACCAGGGCCAGCCTAGGAGGCAGGGGCATGAACTTGAGGGGCAAACTTCGTTTGCCGATTCCTGTAATTATATGATATGCTCCATGAGAAAACCGTGTCAGATTGGTGGGCTGAGAAGCTGTGCAGAGACGACTTGTAGAACACGAGAACCGTTTGCGCAACAAAGTCAGGAGCAGCCATGGAGGAGGATGGCCTCCTGAGCTCCACCGGGGTGCCTTGGATCAGGAAAGTACCCGCTGTCTTGGTAACCTCAGGGGAGCTGCAAATCCGGATGCCGAGGCGGCGGGCTCCCCGAAGCGCGCTCGTTTCGATGAGAAGCTGAAATTCCTTCCTGCCGTGGGCTCTGAGTCTCCGGAGAAGAAAGAAGCATGGACTCAGTCCAGGCTGTGTCTCCGCTGAAAGTCATGCTGTGCCCAGGTTGCGTATGTTGTTGTCGCGATGCTACTACTTGCTGGCATCTATTTGCTACGATCTCAGCTGGCCTGGTTGCACCTATCTTTGCCCCTGTGCAAACTTGATGCAGCGGAGTTCAGGCAGTATCACATCTCCCCGCTTTTGTCCCATACAGCGGCACATCTTCAGGCCCGCCCCAGCCTGAGAAGCGTTGCGCACACAAAGCCATCCTCCTGCCAGATGCCCGATGCTGCGGCGGCAGGAGAGATCAGAGGCCGCAAACTACCCATAGGCCCCTAAGTAGTTCCTTTTTGGGATTACCTTATTGGATTCTAAATATAAACCATAAAAAGGAATTACTATGGAGCCTACGGGTAGGGCCAAGGGATAGAGTCGCTGCGATTGTGAGCTTCCTCGAGCGCCGCAGGTTTGATCCAGCTGAGCCTCTTCGTGCCAGTCACGGAGCCTCGGCTTGCATCGGACATAGGGCCCGTCATGTGGGAGTTTCCGAAAATTGGGGGTGCCTTATTTTGGGGTCCTCATAATAAGGATCCTACTATTTAGGGCACTATATTAGGGTCCCCTATTTTCGGAAGCCCCCATGTGGTTGCAGACAACGGAGAAACCAGAAGGCAAGGAAGGTGACTGCGCCGGTATTCTGTGTCAGGCTCTGCTGCTGATTTGCTACGCAACTCGGCCAGGAAAGCGGGCTCCAGATTATTTGTTCCTGTCAGGGATCTACTTGGTTCATGTGCAATTTTTTGCTGCCAAGGTTCGCAGTATTCTGACGCATCCGGGCGAGATCCCCGAAGATCCGAAGTGGGAGCATCTCGGTACTTATCAGACTTGGCAGGCTCAAGGCTGAAGATGCGAGCGGGGGATGTGCTTCTGGATGTCAGAAGTTCATGCGAACTGGTTGGAAAGAGGTTATACACAATAGTAATAGTAATAATAATAAATATAGCGATAGTAATAATAATAACAATAATAACAATGATGTTACAATTTGTGTCCTAGAGGAGTTGAGCGCCAGGCAGGGCTATGTTGGACATTGTCTGTTGGAGTGTCGCATGTCCCGTGCGTGGAGTCAGAAGCGACCATATACGAGATACTGCATTCTTGCTGTTTCACTACAGGGCTGCATGTCTCTGAGACTTGCTTCCCATTCCATTTTTGAATGCTCCACTCAGGTATATGCCTCGGGACAAGCTTGTGGCTCTCGCACCACTCAGCTTGCAGGAAACCAAGAAGTCTGGCGAACGCAGGCGCAATACAACATGAGACAAAAATACATGTAAAACGAGCACGGGGTGCAGCTCATGTCCTTCCATGTGCTCACGGAGATTCAGAAACTTTTAAGCATGATTCGAGTTCGAACGAGAGGCATTGCAAGTGGTGCGGCAAGTACAAGCCAGACAGATGCCATCATTGCCGAGTGTGTCGTCCCGCGGTTGCAAGAAGTCCTTCCGGACAGGTTAGGCGCACGACGCATGAAGAGTTGGGTAGAATTTTGAAGACTTCGATTTTCTGCAATTCAATTTTGGGGGCGGGCTTACCACCCCACAATCTCTAAGCCTCAGACACACTTTCACCAGCCGGTCGGAATCTGATCGGCTGCGATGGAATCGTACTTACATATTCTTCCTCTCTGCTTGAGCCCGTATCAGAATCTGTTTTGTTCAATCCTTTTGAGCATATTGCTCAAACATGATGAAAGCCTTTGTCACCACATCATATGTTGTTGACATCGGGTTCATCTTGAGAACATATCACCCCAATGACAGTCGGGTGTTGAATGGTTCCGTGCACCAAAGTCGAAAAGTCTTATGCAGCCTTGAAATGTCAAGGTCCAAACCATGCAAGATCCTATGAAGGCTGCCCCCGCTTGAATCCGCAGTGAGTCCGCTTTCAATTCTACAAAGCGCAAGTTAAGGCAACGTGAGCATGCACAAACCCTTAGGAAAGCCTTGTTCGCCCCGAGGGTTTAAGCCTCATACCTTACGAAGGCTATGTACGGTAAGAAGCGATTTTTTTCGCTTCGGAGGAAAGGTTGCTTGAGTCCGGTCGACCCTGAGAGGTGTTGAAAAACGCGAGTTGAGGCGGAGAGGAGCACAAGAGCAAAAATCAGGCAGAGAAAGAAACGGGCATTAATAATTTGTTGCACTTCGTGCTCGATGGCACATTCTTTGCTGTTCACTGCATGAAAATATCTTTCGGGCGGCAAGCTTGATTACAGCATCTCACCAGAGTAACTACGGTTTTGCATTTTGGTTGTTGAGCAGATGTGGACAGCCAGGCACATGTATTTTGAAGATGGACCACCACTGCCCATGGATCTACAACTGCGTGGGCTGCTTCAATTACAAGTTCTTCATTCTGCTCCTCTTCTACTCCGACCCTGGCCCTGCAGTTAGTCCTGGAGCGCTAAGAGCGCTGGTGCTGGGGATGTGTGCTCACCTCGTGTGGAATGTGTGATCACTTACTCCAGACATGTCATCGCGGCAGGACGCTAGTCTAGCAGTTTAAGACGATGTAGCTGCCAAGGCACTGGACTGTCACCTGATTGTCTGGTCCATGAGCGAGTCCGTCCTGCGCTGTGTGAACATCGAGGACACACCCTTCAAAGAGATGTGACCCGGTGGTGACTAGGACTTTGGCCATTCCTGGCATGCGTTGGTCGTTGGTCATAATGTGTTGCAGAGGGAGTTTGTCCCATTGGGCTGGATGTCGCTTGCCGAAGCATGGTGACAGAAAAGCATAAGAGCGTCATCCTTCTATGTGTGAAGCTCCCAAGCAGTCAGCACAGCACAAGAGCCCCAAAACGGATGTCGGGACGAGAAAGGCAGAGGACTGAGCTCTTGCGACCGTGGAGCCCAGGTTCATGATTCTATTTGGGGAGTGCCTCGCGAATCTCGTTCTGCATTGATGGTTCCACTTCCAATGTGAAGAGCGGCGCTCGGCACCTGCCTATCTCCAGCTGTTGTGTGAAGACTCAGGCTCATCCTCGCATTGCTAGCCATGGCCTCAGTGAATATATTCCTGAATGTTTCTGCTGGTCCGACTGTCGTACTCTCGAGGTTACTGCCTTCTTGGCCATGCACCTGTGGCATGCGCCTTAGAAGTTCCTTCAAGAGTTGTCTCGTCCAGCTGCTGGCATGGCCCTCCTCGTTGAGGGCATGCCTTATTGTGCAGATCTTCGTGTTTGAGGCTCATTTCCAAAGGATTGACGACTATCGAGTTCTGTGAGAAATCGCTGCCGAAGGCCACTTTGCATGCAGCACTCCTGTGATTAAAATGGCACTCTCCGACCTTCAACATCTGCATTTGCGTTTGGAATGGATTGCGGGGTGTCGTCAAAGATAGGTGTCTTATCATAAATAGTCTTTCAACTTTCTCGGAGCTGTTCGGAAGAACTGTACAAAACAGCCTGCTAAGATAGACCTTGCCGTCGCTAGCTGCGGCACATTAGGCACCTACC